CCAAAGAGGCCCCCGAGATGGTCCAAGAGGTCTCCAAGAAGTCCTCCAGGAAGGCCCCGAAAGGCCAACCATCATGTATGCTCCTTAGGTAGGTTTTTTCAATGAGATTTCGGCACTTGCTTCATAATGGCCCTTCCACGGTCCAAGACGGCCAAAGAGGACCCCAAGATTGCCCCAAGATCGCCCCAGAGGCCTCCAAGATGGCCCAAGAGGCCCCCAAGACGGCTCCAAAGGGCCCCAAGACGGCCCAAGATGCCTCCACGCCCAGAATGGCCTTCTGGACGACCCTGGAGCGCCCCAGGAAGACCCTAAGACGACCCCGGAAGCCTCCAAAGACGGCTTCCGACGGCCTCGGACGGGCCAGGGACGCCGTCAGACGGCCGAACAGGCCCCCAAGAATCCTCCGAAGAGGTCCAATGGAGCCCGCTCTAAGAGCACCGAGAAGCTCTTCGGAGGCCCGAATAATGACCCCAGAAGTTCCCAATAAGGTCTCCTCATCATCCCCCTCATCCTATTTGTCCCTCCCTCTTCTCATCCTCTTCCTCCCTCCTCTCCCACGTGTTCCCTGGAGGTCTTCCACAGCGGCTGGGGACACGCATGGTGCAATAGCGTGGCCACACTTGGCCAACACGTGTCGCCACATAGGCGTATCCTAAAAGGCAAGGGGGACAGTGGTGGTTCGCCGTAGGCGCCTTTGATCTATATATAGATGTATACATATAGGTGTATAACTCTGTATACATATATACGGAGTTGTACAGTTTATGCATATATATATATATATATTGGCACACGTGTACGTGTATGTATATGAATATGTAGACGTATGCGTGTATGCAAATGCATATGTATATGTCTAGGGTTATGCGTATGTCCAGGTATATTATATCTGTGTGATGCATGTGCATGTTTAAAGTACGTATATGTATAAGTATGTAGATGTATGTTTACATATGCCTACACATGCAATCACAATAAACATGCACATATACATATGTATCATCCGCCACCGTGTCTCGAGGCACAAAGTGGAGCTAGCCCCAGACTCTCATGTGTTCGCTGTTCTCTGTCCTCAGGACTGGGGGAATGTCCTGGGCATTCCCGCGCGCTCCTGGGCTGCCTCGCGTGACTTTTTCAAAAGCCAGGGGGTCCCCAGACGGGCCCAGGGGGGCCAAAGAAACGCCACAGAGACCTCCAAGACAGCCCAAGAGCGCTCCGAGACGCCCAAGATGGCCCCAAGTCGTCCCAAGGGGCCTCAAAAGAAGCACCAAGAGCTTCCAAGAGGACCCCCAAGCGGGCCCAAAGAAACACAACGTATATATTTCCAATGTGCTTTGCATTGCTTTTTACGTTATCGCCGTTTCGAACTTCGGGCGCTCCAAAACGGCCCCAAGGGCCCCCAAGACCGACCCAAGACGGCCCAAGATGTCCTTGAGAGGGTCTCAAGCCAGCCTAAGAGTCCTCAAACGACGCAAGAAGTGCCCAAAACGGCCCAAGAGATCCCCAAGACGGCCCCGAGAAGGGCCCAAGAGGGGGACCACGAACCGACAATTCGAGCCTTCCGCCCGCAGAGGCCCCCAGGAAGCGTCAAGAGGCCCCCAAGAGCCCCACACGAGGCCCCAAGAGGCGCCCTCACGGCCTCAAAGAGGCCTCAACACTGCCCCCAAGAGGCCTCTAACCCAGCCCACAACCCAGGCACGGTGACGGGATGGGCAGACGGCCACTATATATATATATATATTTATATATATATATATATATATATATGGATATATATGTACACACACAAACGACTGGTATTGACCAATCACGACCTTGGAGATGTGGGCCCTTCTCCTCCTCCTCCTCTCCTCCTCCTCCTCCTCCTCCTCCTCCTCCTTATCCTCCTCCCTGCGATAAGACCGTTCCATGAAACACAGCAGCGCTCCCAAACCTCGGCCCCTTGATGCTCAGTGCTCGATGGGGGATCCTCGAGCGACGAGTCTCGGCGCGTGGATGCCCTGGCGTGATCCCAGACCCTGCGGCTTTCCCTGAGCTCATTGTCAGCGGCCCGAGGGCCAGGGGAGGGCCACAAGAGTCCGAAAATGGTGAAGAGCCTCCAAGACCCGTTTCCCCTTCGTTTGGCACCCGTTCCTGTCTTCGGCGGCGAACATCGGGATCCATTACAAATCCGAATTGAAGCTTTAGAGCCCTCCTAGATGGGGTCGGAGTAGATGGGGTCGGAGGTTCGCGCCGCATCGCCGATACATCGGCGATGCACCGGCGATGTATCGGCGATGCACCGGCGATGCATCGCCGACGTGGGCGGTGCATCCGCGACGCCGACGCAAAGCAAATCGGGCTCCACATCGAGCCGCATCGCCGATGCATCGGCGATGCGGAGCGATCCGTCGACCCCATTTACTCCGACCCCATCTGGGAGACCTAGAAGCTTACCACCGGGATTCATTGCAGATCCGGAGCGCGGGCCGAGATTTCGCGAACGCCGAGGAGGCTGAGGTCCGGCGGGGCACGGAATGGGCCCTGAGGTTGGGGCTCACGTTTCGCGGCGGCGAGCGAGGGGGAAGTGAGTAAAGGGGCCCCAGGACACACAAATAAATACACACAAATAAAAATATTCCCCATATTTTCCAATGTTTTCTGGGTTTTTGTCTTCCCCCCCAATTCCCATATTTTCCCATATTTTCTGGGGAATCGACGATTCATTGTGTCTGTGTGTTTCTTTCCCTCCTGAGTGAGAAGGAGACAGCCTTCTCAGAGGGCGGCGGGACTCCTCAGAAGCCCCCTCGCGCCTTCGGAGAGGCTTCCCGTGCCTTCGGGGAACGCTTGGCAACCTTCGCAGACAGCTGGGGGGGACCTTCCGAGAAGGCCCGCCCCTTCCCACTTCCCCCCCTCGACCGCCGTCGACTCCTGCCGATCTCCCCAAAGACCGCTCCCGGGATGCGCCCTCGACCACAACTTTTTCCGAGCGACGCTGGCCGGTGGTGGCGAGAACGCTCCCGCAAGACCAAACAGGCCCCCCTGAACCTCGACTCTTGGTTTGGCACGCTCGACATGGGGAGGGAAAATATCGGGGCAATGCCAAACAACGAAGGTGGTCCGAAACGGCAAGCGGCCGCTGTCGGGAAGGCGGTGCTTCTCCCAAGCGACTTCCTGTTCTAAGCTGGCAAGTGGTGCTGTTGGTCTCTGTCCCGTCGGCCACCACTACGACCGCACCGATCCTCGAGCTGATCCTCGGTCCTCGATCCTGGGCCCTCGGAATCTTCTGAGATGCGGCTTCGAGACGACTTGCAATATCGTCGAAAGTACGGCCTGAGCCCTAGGCCGTATCTTTAGGTCGGGCATGTCCTCCTACAGGCGGACTCTGGAAGGAAAATTGAAGATAGTCAAACAATGTTCAAAGCTAGTCAAACATAATTGCAAAATCGTCCCCAAACTATTTTTTGACTATTTTTGAACATTCCTCCTGTACAAAGACATGCCCGACTTAACCTTTTCTCCCTCTGGCATTTTTCGATCCAGATCTAACCGTGAAGGCCCCAGGGCCCCGAACCACATGAAGACGCAAGGTGTGTTTAAACTGTGACCCCTGCATCTAAAGGTTCCTCGGCTCGGGACCCTCGACATCCGCGACACCCCCCATCAATGCATAAGCTCGGCAGCCCATCGACCTCTTGCACCACGGCATGTGGGGAAGCCCCAACCGCGAGCCAAACAAAACGACACATCAGCACACGGAATCATAACTAGACCTGAGGACGTTGGGGGGCGCACACATCAAGTTTGGGGCAAATCATGTCTGCAACTGATCCTCCGCTCGAGGTCTGTGGACCTTGGCCTCCTCGGCCGCGCTGGGACCCTCTCTAGAGGAAGAACAGAATACAAAACGGCATATACATGAACTTTCGACGGTCCGCGCGAATTTCTTGGATCTGTGCTGGACCACCCTCCCTGGCGCGCGGAACGCGCCAGCGGCGGCGCCAGAGGCGCCGCCAGGGGGCCCTGACGCCGATCCAGGAAATCCGCGCGGACTGCCAACATTTTGTGTTTATGCAATTTGTTCCTTCCTCTAGCAGGGGTCCCGGCGCGGCCGACGAGGTCCAGTCCCGAGACCTCAAGCAGGATATCGACTGCAGAACTGACCTGCCTCGAACTTGGTTTTGCTCGTGCTGCTAAAGACATGCTAATCATGTTCGTACATATTATGTTTACACGTCGGTCGGAAACAGCGGTTGGAACTTTGAAGTAGTAAAACGTTGAAGTAGATTGGGCTTCCGCCCGGCCCCTTGGCCGCGCCGCTCGCTCGGGGAGCGATCCGTCCCCCCTGAGCCGCTCGCTCCGTCCGCCCCTTTTTCGGCCGCGCCTCCCCCCCTCTCCTCCCCTTGCACGGTGGCACGATCCGCTCCAACGGCATCCCCGTGTAAGCTTCCCATCGCCAGCGCAGTCACCCACTGCCTATCGGGCTGGGCGAAAGGGGGGGATAGCAAAGGGGGAGTTTGAGAATCAGCTCACGTAGCTGATTTTCCTGGCGCCTCCCGGCGCCGGAGGCGGCCATGTATCGAGGAATGGGCCCCTCGGTGGGGCCGAAACCAGCTGCACGCAGCAGATTTCGCAACCCCCCCTTGCCCGATCCCCCCCTTTCGTCCGCCCCGAGCCCAGCCGCCGACGCAGCACAAATGCTGATGCCATGCTCTGCTCTTCGACTCTCGGGGCGGCGGGCCCGCGGGGCCCGTGTCAGATGCTCATTCTGGGGACCTTCCTGGAGCCACTCGCTCCACTCGTGCGTCGAAGCTGCGTCGAACCTGAGTCGAACCTGAGTCGAACCTGAGTCGAACCTGAGTCGAATCTGAGTCGAATCTGTGTCGAACCTGAGTCGAACTTGAGTCGAACCTGAGTCGAACAGATCCATTAGGTGGGCTCCAGGAAGGTCCCCGAAACGAGCATCGAACCCGCGGGGCCCCGCCGCGCGCGGCGGGCCGCCCCCGCGGCCGCCCGAGGGCCTCCGCCGCCGGCCGCGTGGCGAGGCCCGGCGCGCTGCATGCCTCCCGCAGCCTGGCGCGGCCGCGGCGGCGGCGTCGTCGGCGTCGGCGGCGGCGGCGGGAGGCGGGCCCCGGCGGGTGTCGGGGGTGCCCTTGGTTGGGGGAGGAGGCGGAGGAGGAGGAGGAGGAGGAGGAGGAGGAGGAGGAGGGCGAGGAGGAGGAGGAGGAGGAGGAGGAGGAGGAGGTGGGACGAGGAGGAGGAGGTGGGAGGAGGAGGAGGAGGTAGGAGGAGGAGGTAGGAGGAGGAGGTAGGAGGTAGGAGGTAGGAGGATTTTCCCTCGGAGGCCCTCGAGGCAGAACAGAGCAAACCTGCCTAACCCGATCGACGGGAGGCAGCTGCAGCTTCTTCCCGCGCACGAACGCGGGCCGCCAGAGCCTCCATGCCAGGAGTTGACACGAGGCGCAGGCGGGAGGCCGTCGGTTTACCACCTTGTGTGGTCGCGGCCTCAATGACAAACTCGGCGGAGCGACGGCAAGGGTCCGCGACACGATTATCATTGTAAAAGTGAGGATGGAGCCCCTGCTTGACTCGGAAGAGGGTCTGGGATCTCGTGCCCAGCTTCCCACAACACCGTCCCGCCAGCAAAACACACCTCTTCGAAGAGTAGGCACCACACCTGTAGCAAAACACTAGAGGTTCCTGGGCCTCATTGTCAATCATCGCGCAAGCTAGGAGGTGCCCCCGTTCCTCGGCATCCTTCAGATTCCGAAAAGCTGTGGGGACCCCTTTGCACCCTACCATCGATCTATCCTGATCCCAGGTGATCGAGAAACACTTTGTGCACCTCCAAACTACCCCCGAGTCGATCTCGCACCAGTCGTGCCAACTCGGATCTCTGACAGCCGCCGTCGTCCGAAGGCCTCTGGCAGCGCGACGAAACACCATCTTGGGGTAGCAGGAGAGCACAGCATCAAACATTCGAACTAAATCTTTCACACGCTTCACGCACACGTCAAGAGCCTCGAGGTCTTCTGTCGGAGCCCCTGGGTGAAGTGTCAGTGCGTGCTTGGCTAACCTATCAGCATCAGCATTTCCCAGTGCAATGCGACGCTCCAAAATCGGTAAAGCCAAAATCACCTCCTCAGACCTGTGGGCAGGGGTGTAGGAGGCAGGTCCCAGACAGCCCTGAGGGTCGTGTTCCATGGCGAGCCTCCTAAGGCCAGCAAACATCTGCTTTGGGCACAGCTGTTCCCGACGACTAGCATTGTGCAGATTAACGGCACCAGAGCAGTCACTGTGAGGGGTGGCAGGGTAATCTATGACACAGCTGAGCGTTGCCATACCAAGATGCTCCGCCGACTGCGGGGTCTGGAAAAAGGTGGGCCATACTGTGCCCATCATCCGTGCCTGAATCTTGTATTCGGGGCCAGGTGCTAGGAACACAGCCCCGAACGCCGCGCGTTGGAGCTCCTTAAACACCTGCTGAGTTGCTGAGCCGTCGACCACGGGCTCACACCCACGGGCCAGCTCAAGAAAATCTTCAAAACTGATTTCCTGGCCCTCGGAATCCTGAAAAGTCGGGTCGAGGTTCCAGGACGGACCAGGGACCACAGGCTGAGGCACAATGAGCCTCGACCAAAACAAAAGCTCCTGGGGCTCGGCAGCTTTCACTTGATCAATCAACTCCTGACTGACATGCTCGAGCCTCTGTTCGGCCACACTCGGACAGAGCCATTGCCGATGGAACAGGGAGTCGGGTTCCCCGCGCAAAGGACAACCCCCCCCGTGGTCATACCCGCACGCTCTCAACCGATCTCCCGTCCAGCAGGCACCTGAAAACACAGCCGAGAGCCAATATTTTTGTCTGGCCGTGGTCTTACGTGAACGAAACAACTCAGCGACAGGGTCTGGGCAGACTCGGACATCATTGAAATCATCTAAATCGGTGGCCATCTTGCGCTCAAGGGCTCTCTGCACACCAGCCTCGAGCTGCTTGGCCACTAACGCTGGGGAGGTGTACATTAAATCAACCACGCGATCGCGGTCATCTCTCCACAGCGCAAAATTATCTGCACGCCACCCAATACGATGGAGGGAGAGGAGCATTCTGTGCACTGGACCTTTAGACTTACGCCAGACAGTGGGGCCTAACTCAGGAGAGGAACTCGATATTGTACGCCATATCCGAATGTGATCCCGAAAAGAGAAGTGGCACACCGTGGGCTCCGTGAGGCTCTGCCAGAGGCTGTTCGACCACTGAAGTGCTGGGGCAACCGCCTGACGCCACGCAGGGTCTCCATGAAGCACACACTTCGCTGTCAAGCTGGCTCCCCGATGAGCAGGAGACTTGCCTGACATAAGCACTGAACGTAAAGAAGCCAACTCATGATCAGAAACTCCTAGGACCATGCTACCGAAACCTGCTGCTGGCCGTACTCCTGCTACATATATCTTGTTAATACGCGTACGGTCCCTGGGAAGCTTCTTCTTATAGTGCTGGAGTAGCCGGCTGCGAATTCGCATATCGTGAAACCGTTGCCGCCGCCGAGCTCTAGCCTTCTTAGCCGATAACCCCTGACCAGGTGCTAGGTCCACGCCCAGCGACACCGTGGAGTTCGTGGCCGAAGAAGGGCATATTGGCTGAAGTCGCCTGCTCAGCTTGGAAGCTATCCTGCTGGACGACGAAAAAGATACCGCTTTGTCTTCAGCTAGCCGCACACCTAAACGTGTCTGAAAGACCCACTTCAAATCTTTCGCAGCCTTGACCAAATCGTGCATAATGACACTTTCAGGACCATGGGCCGAAACCGTGTCGTCGTCGACGTACGATCCCAAACTGACCCCAGGATTTCGGCTAGACCAGAGATCAAACTCGAACATCGCGTAAACCTTCACGAAAACATCATTGAAAATGTCCCCTGCTGGTAAACCGTTTTGCGCAAACTGAATAAGCGGGCAGTGATGAGCTCCCAGACGGAGTACTCTCGGGGACCTCCAGAGGTTGTACAAGACTTTTATGAGAACCGTTGGTATACGCCAGTACAGGGCCCGATCCCTCAGCCACAGGAGCCGAAAGGACTCATAGTACTTCATGCCGTCCCAAATGAAACCTGCCGTGTAATCGCCCTTTTCGGAGGTCTCCTCGGCTCTCACACTTTGTTGCCATATCGCTACCTCAGCAGACTGCCCCGCACCAAAAGACCAGTAGGGCCGCTGGGCCCGATCCAGGAAAGCATCAGCCTGAGGTCTCCGAAGTCGCTCCCAAACTCGAACAAAAGATCCCAGAAGAAGAATCGGCCTGAGACCTCCTTTGGGCTTCTCCAGTAAAGGCAGCAGCATCCACAGTAGCTGCGCGGGGAAAAGGCCCAGCCGCTCCACGGCCTCGTAGAGCACGGCCAGGCACGTGAGGCCCTCGTCGGAGAGGGCACCAACATGCCGCGGGTGAAATCCATCTAAGCTCTGGGCGGTGTGGCGGCTGAAGCTCAGGGACGCTTTCCGAAGTTCATCAACGCTGGCCCGAGGGAAACATTGACGATCAGGAATCCAGGCTTCAGGTGGCTTCAAGTCCGCTCCCCAGAATCTTCCCAACGTCTGAGCTTCATCCTCCAGAAGGGCGTGAGGATCAGCAGTAACACTCCAGGCGCACTCTGGATAACTGTCGGCTGCCAAACCTTTTTCAGCTTCGTAAAACGATGCATTATCCGAGCTGAGCCAGCGAGGGCCCGTTCCTGCCAGAGGTCCCACGACTCCCGCTGTAATCGATCCCCATCCGCCCCAGCTTGCTCATAATCCTCACGAACATCCTCTAACAACTGCTGAGCTAGCTCAAGCCACTCCTGCCGATGGAAGCTGCTGTGGTGTTGCCAGCTCCTCGCCAGAGTGCGCATAGCACGGAGGGAGGCATCAAGGCGCACAGACAGGCCTTCGCCAGGGCAGGAGTCCTGGAGCGATACCTGAAGCTGGATGCAACACTGCACGGCATCCTCGGTTGCATCTTGCACCGTCAGGGTAAATTCTTGAAAAGGCTGGTACAACCACCTCCAACCAGCAACGATCTGGAGCTTATCCTCAGGATCCTTCGGGCGATAGAAAACTGAAACCCAAGACGACTTGATCGTTCGCGAACGCTCACCCAACTCCTTCGGCTCGAAACCTAAAGTGCGGGTAAGCTCCAGCTCGGCGACATCCACAAACTGCGCCCATGCATTATTCAAAACACTCCAGGCCACCGTGGCCTTCTCGTGCATGGCCCAAGCCGCTGCCTGCGCAGCATGAGCAAGAGCGCCTTGCCACGCTGGAGGTTGAGGCCGCGGTCCGAAAGGCACATCAACAGGGAGACGCTGATAGCTACGGTACACTAGCTGCCTGAGGGAAAGAGCATCTGCACGAACCTTGAGTTGGACAGGTCTGTGGGGCTTGACATCCCAAGACATGACCGCTGCAACTCCGGAAATCAATCTAGGCAAACCGGGGCCCATGACGAAGAAATCAATAATTGTGTTCGTAGACGGGGTACGACACGTGTGCTCAATCGGCGCCAGAACCAACATCCCCAGCTTGCGTGGAACTCCAGAGGCCTCCAGAACCTGTGGTGTGAGATTCCAGTCCCCCGCCAGGATCGTATGAGTTGGGTCATTCACCTGCTTACCTATCTTCGCGATCATCTGGACGTTGGCCTCGCTGAGGCCCTCCGAAGTCTTCAAATAAACCGAGAAAACCGTCACCGTGGGCCATCCAGGAAAGTCCGCCAGAACCTTGATAGCTCGTCCAGGAACGACTGGGCCAGGACCTTCTGGAGGCCATCGTAAACCAATGCTGAGCCGTGCGAAGACGGCGACACCGCACGAGACCTTGCCTGTCTCAGCGTTCAGGAACGAGGGGCCGAACAGGGCGTGGAAACCGAGCGAGCGTGCCGAGGCCGTCGCTTGTCCCAAGAAAGAAACGCTGATGCCTATCTCCTGAGCGCACACTATCACCGCCGAAGTCTCTCGTAACCTTCGCCGAAGTGTCTTCCAACACGAACCGTTGAACGTCTCAATAAAAAACGGGTCCCCACTGGCCACCTTGGGGCCTCCACGAAGAGGTGGCACAGGTACTCCAGCAGAGGACAGCGGAATGCCTGACAAAAGGGGCGCACGGCAGCAGTGAAGGGCGTCACCCGCACCGCTGCTTCTTCGCCCTGATACCAAGCTGCTTGAGTAGGTCCGCGACCTCCTTCTCGTGGTCGGGGCCCTCCTTCCGCGCCGCGGCAATGACCTGCTGCACCTTCTCGTCGGAGAGCTCCTCCATGTCCACGTCATCATCACCAGCACTGACCTCGGCCGCTTCTGGAGCGGCACCTGGGGCTGCACCATGTCCGCCACCAGGAACCCGAGGAGCGGCCTGCTGCTGGGCACGCGCCGCTGCCGCCTTGGCCGCATAGAGCTGCCTGAACTTGGCGAACTCGGGCGAGGCCAGCATCGTCTTGACCCCATCCGCCTCGGGGCCCTCGAGCACGCTCGGGTCCAGCTCAAAGTCGACCTCCACCTGCTGCTCGGGGGGCGAGGGCGCCACCTGCTGCATCGCCGCCTGCAACTCGATCTTGAGTGCGTCGATGTCCACGCGCAGACTGCGCTGTCGGTCGTTGAGCTCCGCCAACGCCCGCTGCGCCTCCTCCACAACCTTATTCTGCTCCGCAATTGACTTGTCAAGAGCCTCGAACTTCTTCTGCTTGTCCGCCAGCTTGTGGCCCAACGTGGTGGCGCGGGACAACACTGGCTTCTTGGACTGCACCTCCGCCCGCGCCGCCTTGAGCTCACCCTCCACGGTCTCAATGGCCGACGCTGGTACTCCATCGCACTTGCGAAGAGCCTGCAGGGACTCCTCCAAGTGCTGCACTCTAACACGTAGTTTGTCATCATCCGAAGGCGGTGCGGCTTTAGCGTCGGCGCCACCGCCTCCAGCCTGGGCCGAGCCGCCGCCTCCCCCTCCGTTGGCCGCGACACCCGCGGGAGGGCTCGACTTGGCGGCGACCTTCTCCATGATACGCTTCTCCATGGCTGCCAGCTGGCCTGACAGATCGGCTGGGGGGCCCTTGGCCCACGCACCGCGAGGGCCGCGAGGCTGCCCAGGAGGTACGCCAGGAGGAGCACGAGCCGATGGGCCCAGAGAGGCAGCTGCGGTGCGCGCGCGCTCCACACTGGCCCTCGGGGCTGACTGCCCGCAGAGGCAACGTATCCGACAGGCGAAATTCTGGTTCCTGCCACAACTTGGACACCCCCAGAAGGGCGATCGGGGCCCTGGGAGTACATCCGCCTCATCACGTCGAGCCATGCACAGCACAGCTTGTCACAGGAAAGCTTGCTCCACCAGGAGCTCACAAAGAGATTCCGAGCCACAAAGACCCGCAGGAGCGGCTGCCGCTCTGAAGACAGCTCCTGCAAGCCCAAAAACTTGGGCCAGAACGGCTGGAGGTAGGAGGAGGAGGAGGAGGAGGAGGAGGAGGACGTAGGAGGAGGAGGAGGCGAAGGAGAAAGAAAAGGAGAACAAAGGAGGAAGGAAGGGGGAGGAGAAAGGAGGGAGGATGAGAGAAAGAGGATAAGGAGGGGGAGGAGGAGGAGGAAGAGGAGGAGGAGGAGGAGGAGGAGGACCAGTATAAACCCAAGAGTCATCAACGATGTTTGAGTAAACCCTCCCTCCAAAATCCCTCTTCATATGCCCCTACAACGGTTCATTTCCATTGAAGGAACTGCCTCGTTGGAAGACAACCGTTTGAAGACCCTGAAGCATGCCAAAACATTGTTCTAGGGATTCCAACGCCACGGATCAACCTGACTGTTGCACCTTGACGATCCGGAATTGCACCAGAACGCTATTCCTGGAACTTCAACACAGAGAACCCATTTAACTGCTGCACCCGCATAATCCAAAACCCTTCCAAAACACAATTGCCCATGAAACTTTTACAATTGTTGGTAAGATAATGTGCGCCGCGCTAATGCGAGAGCCACATCTTGAAAAGGAGCCGCCCTCAATCCGTGAAACTCTTGCAACACTTGAAGACAAATGTGCACCGCGTTTAAACGAAGGCCGCGTTTTGAAAACGACCCGCCCTCAATCCGTGAAGTTCTTGCTAATTTCTGAAACGAGTGTGCGCCGCGCTAATGCGCGAACCACATTTTGAAAACCACCCGCCCTCAACCCGTGGAACTCTCGCAACGATATACAACGAATGTGCGCCGCGCTAAGGCGATAACCACATGTTGGAAAAGAACCGCCCTCAATCCGTGAAACTCCTGTAAACTTTGAAGACGAATGTGCGACGCGCTGAAGCGAAAACCACGTTTTGAAAACGACCCGCCCTCAATCCGTGAAATTCTGGCGGATTTTTGAGACGAGTGTGCGCCGCGCTAAGGCGAGAACCGCATTGTTGAAAACCACCCGCCCTCAATCCGTGGAGTCCTCGTAATGTTTGAAAAAAAAACCGTGTACGCCGCGCTACGGCGAGAATAACATTTTGAAAACCTTCCGCCCTCAATCCGTGGAACTCTTGCAATTTGTTGAAACGAATGTGCGCCGCGCCGAGGCGAGAGCCACATTTTGAAAACCACCCGCCCTCCATCTGTGACGCTGTTGACAATATTAAACCTTCAGAATCATAAGCGGTGAGGAAGTCTCAGGCGAAACGCCCAGCCCGCCCTACAAACTGGCCTCGGGGAGCGACAAGGAAAATTATCTATAAGGAAAAGGAATGGAGGGGGGAATGGGAGCGACCTCGCGTTCAGGAGGGGGGAGGAGGAGGTCCCAGTCCACAGCAACGTGCGCGGCGGGGGGGGGGGCAAGGGGAGGCAGAGGAGGAGGAGGAGAAGGAAGCGGAGGAGGAGGAGGACGAAGAAGGGGGAAGAGCAAAGGAGGCTCTGGACGAGACAGACGGAAATCCCACCAGCCCTTTAGGGCGTAAAGTGGTTTAGGGGGCTTCCTCTTCCACCCCTCCCTCTTCCCCTCCGGGGAAGGGTTTACCCCTCTCCCTACCCCCTCTCGTGGACCTGGACGGGGGGTTTCGCGGGTAGTTGGAGCGACCAAAACGGCCTCGGCGAGGAAGCCAACATCATTGGTTTTACCAAGGTTTTGGCCCCAATTTGACCTCCCGAGGGGGGGGGCTAATTAGGGAACCTCCCTTCTTTGATCGATCTCCCCCGAGTTGGCCCCACGAGCGCTCCGAAGGTTCCCAAGGGTGCCCCGAGATGGCCCCAGGGGGTGACCAGGAGGCCCCAAGAGGCCCCCAAGAGGCCCCCAAGAGGCCCCCAGGATGCCCCTAAGAGGCTCCCAAGAGACCCCCAAGAGGCCCCCCAGAGGCACACAAGACGCTCCAAGAGGCCTCGGCGAGAATGCCACAATCATTGATGTTACTCAGGTGTTGGCCACATTTTGGCCTCTGGGGGGGGGGCACTGATTGAGATGACTCCAAGAGCGCCTGGGAGAGTCCAAGACGACCTCCAAGATGGCTCAAGATATCCCAATCTGTCTCAAGATGACTCCCACGATGCTCCAAGAGGCCCCAAGACCGCTCCAAGACGGCTCCAAGTGGCCAAAGATCTCCCCTAGGAGGCCCCGAAGAGGCAAACATCCTTCAAAACCTTTAGCAAATCAATGTTTTTGGCTTTCTCGCCTTTTCGCTTCCGATGGCCATCCGAGGCCTCAAGATGGCTCCAAGATGGCCCAAGAGGGCTTCAAGAGAGGCTCAAGAGAGCCCCAAGACGGCTCCAAGAGCGCCCAAGAGCGCCCCAGGAGGCGACTTGTTGGGCTCCCGAGGGGCGACGCTCATTTATGCCCCCCTCTTAGTTGATCGATATCCTCCAAGATGGCACCAAGAGCGCTCCCAAGGCTCCCGAGAGCGCTTCAAGTGAGCCCCAAGGGGCGCCCAGGAGGCCCCATCAGGCGCCCAAGAGGCCCCCAAGAGGCTCCCAAGACACCCCCAAGAGGCCCCAAGAAGCTCTCCGAGGCACCCAAGACGCTCCAAGAGGCGTCCAGGACCGCCAAGAGGCCCCCAGGCTCCAAGAGGCCTGCACTGGGGGACCCTTCCTCTGTGTGCTGCCCACTTCCCCGATGGAGGCAATTCCTTGGGGCATCGCTCCTGGATGGGCTGGTGGGGCTACGCGATGCGCCCAGAATTGGTGGCATAGCAAAGGGCAGGGTAAAGAATCAACTCATGCTGTTTCCTCGCGCCTCCTGTTGAGCAGCGACCGACCGTCCCGGCACTCCTATAGTCCTACCACGAAAAGTTCTTAGAACCCCAGAATGTTAGAAGAACAAAACAATGTTCTTAGATCATAAGCCCGATGTGATATACGAAGACAGACTCCGCCAGAAAAGATCTAAGAACATTTCGTGGAAACCACGATAGGTTCTTAGAACATCGTTTGGTAGGACTACAGGCGAGCCAGGACGCTTCGCCACTGCTTGATCCTGGCGCCGGGAGGCGCCCCTGTTGGGGAGGGGGGAGAGGGGCAGGACAGCCAAGGGCAGGGCAAGGCATCAGCTCAAGCCCGCTTTCCTCGCGCCTCCCGGCACACTGGGAGGCGGCCGTGCGTCGAGCTCAATGGGCCCTGGAAACGACAGGGACGTTTTGTTACCGGTTCCGTTTTGCCGTCCTCCTCCTCCTCCTCCTCCTCCTCCTCCTCCTCCTCCTCCTCCTCCGCTTAAGCCTGCCACTCCGCCCCGCCCGCCTCGAGCTGCCTCTCGACCTTCTTCGGGGCCCTCTCCACGGGCCGTCGGCACCGCCTGGCTGGTCCTGGGGGATCCCCGGGCTCTGGGGCCCGTTTCCAGCATCGGCGGCGAGCGAGGGTGGGAGGTGAGAAGGATATTACCAGCCTCGAACTTATCCCTATCCCTAAGATTGACACGCCAAAATGCGATGACAATCTTAGGGATGCGCCGTAAAAAAATAAGGGACTCCCTAAGATTGGCATTGTGATGATGCGATGGCCAGCTTAGGGATAGGGATTGGTTCCAGGCTGGTAAGGAGAAGGCCTTCTCAGAAGGTTCGGGAGACCCCTGGCCTCCTGAGAAATGTTCGAAACCTTCCTCGACGACAGACAGAAAAACCTCTCGGAAGGCGCGAGGCCATCTGAGAAATCCCGCCGCCTTCTGAGAAGGCCTTCTCCTTCTCATCTCCCCCCTCTCGCTCGCCGCTAACTTTCGTCCGGCCCGACTCGAGCTGCTTCTCAATTTCCGGGCCCTCAACGGGCCGTCGGGACCGCCTGGCTGGTCCTGGGGGATCCCCAGGCTCTGGGACCCGTTTCTCGGTGATTCAAAGATAGGGTCCTGAGGGATGGGCTCCTGAGGACGAGGTGCCTCAAACAACGCAGATCCACCCTTGGATACCTCCCTATCCTCAGGTCCCCATCCCTCGGGACCCCATCTTTGAACCGACGAGCTTCCCATAGGACCGCTCTCCTTCATCGTGACCGGCGCGGGCGGGTCAGCAGCGTCGGGCCCATCCGCATCTCCTTGAGTCGGGGGCGCGCAAACATGGATCGTCCCCAAAATGCGGCCGGTGCCGCCCCGTTCGGCCTCGGAAATCCGCGATTTCCCACGGAAACGGGACCAGTCGCTAATCCACGCTCCCTTGACCCATGTTTGCGATCGCCTGATTGTGGGCCAGGGCTCCTCCGCGCAGGCAGCCTGCCCGGAATGGAATATAGCAGTGTGGGGCGGGTGCTGCGAGGCCCGACGGCGAGGGCACCTGTTTCTCCTGACCCTGACGCCACCGCCTCCCTGACCCTCGAAAAACATGCCTTTTCGCGGTCCACTGCGTGACAGCGGCGCTGCATTCAGGGGGGGAAGGATGGTGGGGTAGGTCTTGCGATCCTCAGCAGCCTCTTCCTCCTTCTCCTCCTTTGCTCCTACTCCACTCCCACAAGTCCTCTTCCGAGGGATGGAGGAGGTTACAATTGGAGGGTGGAGTATGGCAGAGGAAGGAGGGCAGAGGCACAAGGGAGGATGAGGACGAGTGGGACGATGAGGCGAGGTATGATGAGGAGGACGGTGAAGGGAAGGAGGACCAGAAGAAGGAAAAGGATGAGGAGGACTGGGTATGAGGATAAGGATGAAAACGAGTACAGCGAGACTAGCGATTCACCCGCAGGCGAGACTGACCAGTCGAATACCTACAATGGGGGCGTCGAATTCCAGCAGCGCGGCGGCGTTAGCGAGGGCGGGGGGGCCAAGGCAGGCCTTGCCGCGCGCGACCAGGCTCGCGAGGGGGGGGGCCACGGGGCGAGCTTGCGAGCAAGCTCGTGTGTGTGGGGGGTCAGTATATTTCAGAGACACCAACACCAGGCCTCTCGGTCCTGGCACCGCGAAACACTTCGTGCGTGTGCGTTGCCTGTGACGGTGTAGATGTACGCGTAGATGCGTGTGTGTGTGTGTGCGCATGTGTTCAGGAGGATGTACGCGCAGAGTGTGTCAACATGTGCGTGCATACAACTTCATGCGTACACGCCGATGTACATACACGTATTGTGTTGTGCTGGGTGGATGGAAACGCCACAGTACAATGACATACTCCGCATCCAAGATCAACCCCCTTCGGCTCTCTAGCACAAGTGGCAACGAACCATGCAACGATAACGGTATGTCAACCTTCAACCAGATGCGCGCTAGCATTCCGAACATGAACTCGCACATGTGCAAGACGGCGGGGCGCAAGGCTCCAAGTCATCTATTGTCAACGATGCGTGATGCGCAAACTGAGACAGTCATCCTTCTCCGCAAATCGCAAAGAGGCAACCAAGGGTACCTAAGAGGCCCTCGGAGATGCCCCAACACACAAAAGAACCCACCGTGATTGCCCTCCAGAGACTAACCGCAACGCGTTGAGCCGACCCTTGTCGAAGCCGTACCCTCGGACACTCACAAATGGCGAGATCTGCATGCTCGTTTCCCCTTGTGGGCCCGCCGTGAATCCCGCTCTGCGGGCTAAGTGTAAGGAGCCTCGAGTCAGCCATTCAATACAATCGGGGTTGAGTGGAGAGGACACGCGAGCGGACACAAGACACTTCCGAGGGCCACGTTGTCATAGAAATGTAAACAATACATGGGTCGCGAAGCTTAGGACACAAAAGGAACCCTTGATTTGGCATGGTTGACCTACTAATACACCTCGACTGTAAGCGAATGCAGACATCCGAGAACCAACCTCTTGCGCTGCACTGCCACTCTCAGGAATTGAGAGGGGCCCACCCTCCATCCTTCGGCCCCCTGTCCTCCTCGTCTCCGTTTTTGCCGTCTCCATCTTCGGGATCGAACCCCAGACTTATATTGCTCCCATCGTACTTACGGACCACATCCCAGAAATAATTTCGAGCACCCAGACAAGTATCGAAACAGTGTCGAACGAGTATCGCCCCCCAAGGGCCCAACACTTGGAAACCCTCAGGTTTCGGTACTTTCTCTTTCTGGCGATCGAGGCTAAAGTAGGTTGGCACATCGCAGCTCCAGACGCGTCCTGGACCGCGCCCGAGGCGAACCGAGCCGCTGCGACGAGGGCCTCCCAGGAGGCCCGATCGGGAGGGCGAGAAGCGCCTGTCTTCGTCCTCCTTCTTTCGTCCTCCTCCCTCGTCGTCCCTCGACCTCCGAAGGAGACCTGCTTTTATATAGACTCAGGTCGGGCGTCCCCCCGCAGGCGGGTTATGGACGAAGAATCAAAAGTACGCAACAAGCACTCAGACATAATAACAACAATAATAAGAACGAAAATCGTCCCCTGACTATTTGTTGACTGTGGTTGAATATTCCTCCTGTAGAGGGACAAGCCCGACTTCAATCTAGTCGCTCGCTCCCCGAGACGCTTGCGGGAGCCCAGGTCGCCAGGCTCCACGGCCCGGGGGGTCCAGAGAAGGCCCCACGCGGGCGCCGAAGAGTAGGGACACAGGGATCGACCTAAACAATGTTTCCCGTTTTCGTTGTGTAATCTTTTCTCTCGTCTTGTCTTCAAACCCGCCTTTGCTGCAAAACGAAATCGAAACGGAAACGGCCCACGAAGTCGCCAAAACACTGTTTAGGTCGAACCCTGTAGGGAAAGACTGCAGAGGGATGCCCCCCCGCCCCTCACAGAAGTTGACCTGTGGACCTCTCCTGGAGAGCACGAGGCATTCTCAGGGGGTTCGTCCTCTCCGTTCGCTCACGCCCGACAAAGGGGGGCTGGCGGGGAATGCCCCCCAGGGAACCTGCCCCGGAGGGTCGGCAGCCACTCCCGTGGGGAGTGCTGCTTTGTGCTGAACTGCATTGCCTCCCGCCGGGAGCATCGCACAGACCGCCCGCAGGGAGCAGCGTCCCCCCCCCGCAGGGGGTCTCTTCTTGTGCCCCGCAGAGGGGTATTGCAATATTGCCGCCAGGGGCAGTCCGTCCTCTCCATTTTCTCGCGCCCGACTCCTCCTCCTCCTCCTCCTCCTCCTCCTCCTCCTCCTCCTCCTCCTCCACCTCCTCCTCCGCCTGGTTGGCGGGCAGGAGCCCTCCGGGAACCTGCCCCGGAAGGCCGGCCCCCACTGCCACTCCCGCAGGGAATTTTTTCCGCTCTGCGCTACCTTGCCTCCCACAGGGCGCACGCCTTGCATTTGACCTCCCGCAGGGCGTATTTTCGGGAGCGGCAAAGAGGGGGGCGTCAAAGAGGGGGGGGTGCTAATCATGACCGGCGGCATGTGCGCGGCCCAGCGGGGGGGCCAGGGACGTAATGAAATAAGAAGAGGCGCCATGAAATCTGAGAAATATCATGGCCCACGCCATGATATCCCCCCCCCCCCTAGTCATCACCCCCCTCTTTTCCGCTCCCGATATTTCCCCCGCGTGGGGCACTGCTTGTGTTGACCTCCCGCAGGGAATCTGGGCCCCACCAGGGCGCATTGAAGTGTTCCCCGCAAGGGGTCCTGCACCGTACTGCCCCTCCTTACAAGGACCCTGGAAACGACAAGGCCGTTTCTTCACCGGTTCCATTTCGCCGTCTCTGTTGCCGGTTCCGTCGCTGTTTTTGTTCCCGGTTCCGTCGCCGTTTTCTTTTTGGTTCCGGCTCCAATTCCAGTCCGGGACGGATCTGGTTTTGTCGCCGTTTTTTTTTTTTTTTTTTTTTTTTTTGTTTTCGTCGTTTCCACTTTGAAGACGCTTTTTCGGGAACGGTGAAAAACAGCCCTGCCGTTTCCATGGCCCACTAAGGCCTCCACCATTGGGGCGGGAAGGATATTTGGAAGTCATAAAGGCCTCTGGGAAGATCTTGGGGGCCTGCTGGGGGCTTCTCGGTGAAGGATTTGGGGCCTGTTGAGTGCCTCCTTCGGGCCATGTTGGGGTCTTGGAGGGCTCTTGAAGAGGAGGGTTCCCCCAGACCCCTCTCGGCCCCCCCTGGGGGTCTCTTGGGCCGTCTTGGGGCCTCCTCGGCGGTCCTGGGGGGGTCTTGGGGTCCACTCGGGCCGTCTTTGTGACGGTCTTGGAAAACTCGAGCCGTCCTGGGCGGTCGGAAGACGGACGAAAACGAGAACGCCGAAGTCCTTGAACAAATCATGGGGGATTACTGCGTTTTACCTCTTGGGGCCTCCTTGGGAACCATGTTGGGCCCCACCTTGCAGCTTCGGGGAAGAATCTTGGCCCGTCTGGAGGCAATCCTGGGCCGCCTTGTGGCCCTCTTGGACTGGCCATCGCTCGGACATCCATTCTGGGTGCATTTGCTGTTTTTGTGCGTGCTTTTCTTCGCAAGCTGATCCTGGATGCTCCTCGATGGTCCTCGCCGAGAACAGGAGGGACACAAACATACACTCATGGCGCTCCGCGCGGACTTCTTGGATCTGAGCTGGACCCCCCTCCCTGGCGCGCGGAGCGCGCCAGGGGCGGCGCCAGGAGGCGCGCCGGGAAGGGCGCTCCAGCGCGGGTCCAAGCCATCCGAGCGGAGCGCCAGCAGTTTCTGCTTATGGCGGCCCGCTTGTTCTTCGAGAGAAGAGATGCACGCGGCCGAGCGGTGCCGAGCGGAGAGTACGGGGGCTCCGTGCGCACCTGGTGGCCTGCAGCCCCGGGGAGCCCCCGGGGGCCAGGCGCCTGGCACGTGCGTGCAGCTCCCCCTGCGGAGGGACCCTCCCCGCCCCCGCGCTGTCCGGCAGCCAGGTGCCGGGCACTGCAGCCGACCCGCATAGTGAGGATGCGCGGCAGGGATGCAAGACGAGGTTGGCCAGCGAGAGTCGCTGAGGATGGGCCGAAGGGGCATGGATGCAAGGCTACCCTGGGGGAGGCTGTCCATCCTCATTGTGCGCGGGTTGACTGTAAGACAAAGCCAGGGCGAGGATAACATCGGGGGAGGAAACATCGAGAACCTCAGAGATCCGGCGGCTCTGGAGGATGCTTCGGGCACCGCTGAAGGGGAATTGGGACACACAAATAAATACACACACATAAAAATATCCCCCATATTTTCCCATATTTTCTGGGTTCTTGTCTTCCCCCCCACTTCCCATATTTTCCCATATTTTCTGGGAATCGCCGATTAATTGTGTCTGTGTGTGTGTGTTTTTTCCCCTCCTGAACCGCGGCCTTCTCAGATCGCTCCGCACCGCTCTGATAGCGTTCCGGAACGCTCTGGAATGGATTTGCCTCGTTCTAGCCCCGTCCGAGGGGGCGGAGGATGGAGGGAGCGGGGAGGCGAGGCGAGGCGAGGGCCGGAGGGAGCAGGGAGTGCGGATGTGAGACGAGGGAGGAAGGAGGGAGGAAGGGGTGCCTGCCAGAGGAGGGGCAACACCACTCCAATCCTTCGAGTCGATCCTGGAAACTCGATCATGGGCCTCAAGCCGACCACCAAACCTGTCCTGGCAGGGGACGAATTCTGACTGGAACTTCGAATAGGAAATCAGCCGAGGCGACGCAAAGCCTCCCAGAGGCCTCCAGAAACTCGAATATCGAACCTGGATCCTGGCACCGCCAGGCCCGAACGGCACAACGTCCTGTCCCTGGCGACGACAAACATCCTGGAAGCCGGGCGACACCCGGAAAAACACAAACATCATCTGGACAGTCCCCGACGACGACGACGACGACGACGACGACGACGACGACGACGACGACGACGACGACGAGCCGTGGGATGCCGGTGGGCCGCGCCTCGGCGGAGGCCGCAAGAGGCCTGCCAGGGCCTGGCGCCGCCCCATCGCCCGCCCGCAGGGGCCCTGGGGGCGTGGGCCAAGGTGCCCTGAGGGCGACGCGAAGGGATCCTGCGTCTCCTCCCCCTCCTCCTCCCATCCTCCTCCTCCTCCTCCTCCTCCTCCTCCTCCTCCTCCTCCACCTTCCCCTCCTCCTCCCATCCTCCTCCTCCTCCGCTTCCTCCCCCTCCTCCTCTTCCTTCTCTTCCTCTTCCTCCTCTTCCTCCTCTCCTTCCTCTC